CCCTCCCACCTTTATTTACATTGCCTTCAGTGCCAGGAGTCTTGGTATAGGATAAGTAATGGACTTCTAACCATGGGCTGGCAGTTGAAACCCACCAGCCACTCTTTGGAAACCCTATATGGGGTTGCTATGAGTTGGAACCCACTTGATGGCACATAACAACAACAACAGAAACCAGGGAGCTGGTAACATTTGTCTCAGCACCTTTAATACCTAGAACAGGTTCTGTCTTGTAGAACATTTTAGCATGGCATTAGTTCTAGTGTAAGATGTGTCTTTCTTTCCTAGATCTAGAAAGTTCAAGTCAGGGCCATGTGGATTCCTTCTAAGACTTCGGAGAGGGGAATTGTCAGTAATCCCTGCTGCTTTTAAATAGATGCAACTTCACACGCTGTCTTCCCATGTTTGTGCCTGCTTCCCCGTATGTACTCTTTCATAAAATGCCTCTCAGAAGGGACCAGTATTAGGGTGTATCCTACTCTCACATGACCTCATTTAAGTTAACTGATAACTAAAGAAAAACCACATTTCCTCAAACAAGGTCCTGTTCACAGGTACAGGGATTAGAACTTTGATGGATCTTTCAGGGAAAACATAAATAAATCCATAACAGATGATGAGTTGACTGAGCTAAAGATCCAGGGAAATTTCTGTTTGTAATGCTAATAATATGCTTATGTTTTTCCCATTTTCTTCACCATTCCTCACCTCCCCATTAGCTCAGGAATGTCCTCTTTGCTTCACATAAGAAAACTTAACGTAGCTGCAAAAAATTACTAGATATGCATGTGAATTTTAATTATCAATAATATGTTAAAACACACACACAAAAACTGGCTGCTATTAAGTTGTAGTAATCTCATGGTATAGGACTAGAACTGTTCTTTAAGTTTTCAGGGTTGTAATCTTTCACAAGAGACCTAGAGTAGCGCTGGGGGATCAGTACTGGACTGCTAACCACAGGTCGGCAGTTCAAACCCACCAGCCACTCCTTGGAAACCTTATACAGAGTCACTATGAGTTGGAACTGACTCAACAGCACACAACAACAATAACAACCTTTCCCAAGCAGAGCAGTGGGTCTTTCTACTGAGGTGCCACTCAGTGTGTTCAAATGTCCAACCTCTCAGTTAGCCCCCGAGCACAATACTGTTGGCTCTTCTCAGAGCCCTAATACTATGGTAATATGATCATGCAGATCACAAACACAGAGGCTGGATTTAATCTTTCCACTGATCATTGAATTCTGCATATGGAGGACATTTTTGTCTCTTGGATGTCAGCCCCAGACTACCTCTCTTCTGGTAACAACATCCGACATCGTTCTTGCTGAGTGCCTCTCTGCCTTGGGATGTAGTCTTGATGGCACTCAACTCAAGGTAGTGGAACTGTAGGGTAAGCACTGGGCTGCTAACCGTATGGTCATTAGTTCAAAACCACCAGCCACTCCTCAGAAACCCGGTACAGGTTTGCTATGAGTTGGAATTGATTTGATGGTACTTAACAGCAACAATACTCCTTTAGCCCAGGGTGATGTGCCCATTGGTCATCCATCGCTGGGGGATGTGTAGGATTGGAGAGGGAAAGCTTTTCCTGTTTAATTTTCACAATTAAAAGCTATTATTTTTGCAATGTGAAAACTGAAGATTTAAGAAAAATAGAGTATTAATTACCAAAAGGATTTGGCTAGATGCCGCTCATTTTCCTGTTAAACTCATTTTATCAGCAACCACAGCTTTGGTCTTGTCAAATACCCACAGCCTAAGGGAATGCAGACAGCCCTGCATCCATTCCACTCCTGGAGTTGCCAGAAATCCCTTTAAAATGATGAAACAGATGTCTTCCCTTGGGTTCGAGCAGATATAAATCATAACTGCTTGTGTTTAATTCCTAGGCTCAGGGTCTACCGCATAACAAAATCAATCCGTTTCAGGTTTGGTTTTGGACTTTGGTTTTTTAAATCTTCAGCATCATAATAGCCGAAACCTTTACAGTATGCAGGAAAGGTAAACATCTGCATAGGTAGTTGTGTTTCATCGCTGGGCTGGCTGCAAACTTCCTGTGTGAAAGTGGAGTTAAACAGACTTCCACCAATCATCTTTGCAGCAGATCCGTTGACCAGAGGTCAGACCTCCAGGGCCCAGCATGAAAGATGAAATGGTTTCTGAGCTTAGAACTGGAAGACACAGCCATGGTCCATATGTCAATCATCAGCAGTGAAGGGAGGGATCTTGTTATTCACAAGCAGAACTGAAGAGAACTGCAGCTTTTGCGCAGTAAATCAAGGCTCAAGGCAAGCAGCTTGTAGGGATCTCAGTCCTTGGGTTCAGGGCGTATAGATCATGTTTTGGGTGGCATGAAAAAAGATGACTTTGGGACTGCTCGTAAATTCATAATTAATAAAAGCTCTTAGGATTTTCCCAAGAATCACAGTTCAAATTTGCAGTAGCTAACTCTTGGGTGGAGCAGATGTTGAATCTAAACGTTTCCAGAATCTTAGTTTTTACAACTTTTAGAGTGGCAAGCATTGTTAATAATGATAGACGCCCTTAACCCAGGTGGGGCCACTGAGGTTTACTCATTGAGGCCAGTAAGTGTAGAACAGTTATGGAGTCAGGAGGCTGTGGGCTTTGGTGTAAAGAGTGGGGTTTAAGGACAGAGACCCAGGTTTGACTACTGACTGGTTAGAATTCCATTAGCTGGGAAACTTGGTCCAGTCTTTGTGTCTATGAAGTTCCAGGGCCTAATCTGTGATATGGGAAGATGCCTTGGTACCTAAAACATCTTGTTGCTGTTACTTGATATCAGAACAAAACACTAGTACCTGCACTAGCCTCATGACTGGCTCAGAGTCATACCTTGTGATCCAGAGAGTTTCCATTGGCTGATTTTCAGATGTAGATTGCCAGGCCTTTATTCCTAGTCTTTCTTAACTGGATGCTCCTCTGAAACCTGTCCAGTATCACGTCTACTGACAGATGGGTGGTAGCTCCACATCGAACCCTAATATCCCACATGAAAGGGGAGGATTCTATTACTGAATCACCAGTACCTCACTGGTATATCCTAGTGGCCTAAAAAGGATGTTGCTGTTGTTGATACGAGTTGGTTTTGACTCATAGTGACCCTGTATAGTGTTTCTGAGGAGCAGCTGGTAGGTTTGAACCATGGTTGTTGCAGTGCTGACCCTACAGTGCCACACCAGTACTTCCATTTCACAGAATTAGTACTCTATAGGCAGCAGGAACCCGGAGGGGAGGCCTAATTCCCCATGTGACCTCTCAGAGGCCAGGACTGCATCCTCCAGACCCCCTCCAGGAGCCTCCACTAGACAAGCCCATTGCAATCTAAGTGCTTTCCCATCTGCCTCAGCAGTTTGTCTTTCAAAGCCCAACCTGGCAAGTCTGCCACCTGCTGGGTACAGTCAAATCGACTCCCTCCCCCACCTTAACACATGGCTACAAGTGCAATCAGTAAACCCACCCCACTTGCTGGTAAGTGGGGGTGAGGAGGGGGGTGCTGATACCTCTCCAACTCAATAGTTGCCATTCAGAATTCTTTATCAGGTTTCAGAGAACACAGGACAAGGCTGGTCCTCTCCTCTCCTCCTTGCCCTCACTCCTCCATTATCAGGTTGCCCAGGGAAACAAAACCACTTATTCCCACATTGTTGTTGTTGTTGTTTAATGACATCAAGTCTATTCCGACTCATATCGACCCTGTATAGGGTTTCCACAGAGCAGCTGGTGAGTTAACACTGCCCACCTTGTGGTTCAAACTGACTTTGCGGTCCAGTGCATTAATCCACAGCGCTACACTAGGACTCCATGAGACTCACTGTTGTTAAGTGCCATCTAGTTGGTTCTGACTCATAGTGACTCTGTATAGGGTTTCCAAGGAGCAGCTGGTGAGTTTGTAGTGACCCTTTATATGGTTTCTGAGACTGTAAATCTTTGAAGGAGCAGACAGCTTCATCTTACCTTTCCAAAGACACACTTGTTGTTAAGTGCCGTTGAGTCAGTTCCGACTCATAGCAGCCCTGAATTGGGTTTCCGAGGAGCAGCTGGTGAGCTCAAACCACCAACCTTGCAGTTCAAGCCAACATTGCAGTCCAGCGCATTAACCCACAGCACCAACACCACCAAAACAAAAACCAAACTTGCTGCCATCTGGTTGATTCCAATTTCTTTTAAAATTAAACTTCTCTATGTATGTTTGTCTTTTTCTTCCTTTTCTTCCCTTTCTCCTTCCTCTCATTTTCCTTCCCTCTTTCTCTCTCTTATAAATTACAGTATCCTTTATTATTAAAGCCTTTGCTTTGTTGTTGTTTTTAACTTAAAATTGGTAAGACCAAAGTTAAGGCCACTTTTAAACTTAGACCTTTTCTGTCCTCTTAAACAATGGCTTCCAAAACTTTTTGTTATATCACCTCACCATTTAAGAATTACTAAAGATGTACAGTATATGGAGTCTTGGTGGGGCACTGTAGGATAAGCCCTGGACTGCTAACCACAAGGTCAGTGGTTCAAACCCACCAGCTACTCCTCAGAAACCCCATACAGTGTGGCTACGAGTCAGAACTGACTTAATAGCATTTAACAACAACAATACAGTATATACTCAAAATTTGAGGATAAGTAAAAAAATATCGCTGCTAGGGTCCAAGTTCATACATACACAGGTTTATTCCAAATAAAATATGTTTAAACATGTCTCTGCAATCATAGGACTATTGTAGACAAGTTTTCTCATTAATACATGTGTGTTAGGTTTTTCAGGGTGTCTTCAAAATAAAGGGCTACTCAAAACACTGGCTGACTTCGGAGGGTATCTACTGGTCATAAGAAGGTTATGGGTACTGTTCTGGGGATTTCAAAGGGGTAATATTAATAGATTTTCTCAAGGGACACATGGGGGCCTATTAGGAAGAAGTTTTAAGAAAACTGAAAACTGTATTGGTGAGAAAAAGGGCAAGAAAGTTGTGTTGAGGAATGTTTTCCCGTCATGACAGCGCACCTAATCATTCTTGGAAGATAGCAAGGGCTGGCTGTTCGGTGAGAATTTCATTGGAAAATCTTACCCCATTCCCCCTAAAGCTCGGATCTTGCTCCTTTTGGTCTTCCAAACTCAAAACAACATTTCAAAAGTACATGATTTGAGTCTCTCACAGATGCCAAACTGCTGTTTTGACATGGTGGAAATAGAAGAATATAGAATTCTTCAGGGAAGAATTTTTGAGAGATGGAAACATCGCCTTCAGAAGTATGTAGACTTCAATGGAGGACATGTGGAGAAACAGTAGCTTCACATTTTGACATTCTTGTTTCATAAAGTTGTCTCAGAAATGTACTCACAAAGCTGGTTTTGATCAATGCCTGGGTGGCACAATGATAAAGAACTCAGCTGCTCACCAAAAGGTCAGTGGTTTGAAACCACTAGCTGTCCTACAGAGGAAATACCGATGGTTTGCTCCTGTAAAGATTACAGTCTAGGAAGCCCTATGGGGCAGTTCTATTCTGACATATACCAGTAGAGTTACTAGAGTCAGAATCCAATACACAGCACACAACAGTAACACTGCCAAAGCATGGACACAATGTTGCTGTGGCTATTGTGTGCCTTTTATTCTGTTTCCACTCATAGTAACCATGTATAGGGTTTCTGAGAGCAGTTGGTGTGTATGAACAGCCAACATTACAGTTAGCAGTCCAGTGTTTATCCTATTGTGCCATGCCAGGGGACACATGAACAGTAGGTATAAAAACAAAATAAAACTAAGGGAGATTACAAACCTGAATAAAATCAGGCACAAAGTGAGAAATTAAAAGAACAAACAAAATAATTTCAGTAAGAACAGGTTCTGTCTTTCTAAATTTACTTCTCCAGCAAGGGAATTCCCAGGTGGATCCTGTGAGAGGAATGATGTAGAAAAAGTTAAACAGCTGTAGAATTGGAGATGTGAACATATGTTGCATAAATAGAAAAGAGATGCTAAAATGTAATGTTTCATTGGAAAGTTACTAATATATGTACATTTATAAATGTATGAGGGTGGGGCTCAAACATTCATGGAAAAACTCTATTGTATTTAAATTCCATTTTCCATTAATTTTTTGAAGTCCCCTTGAGTATGTTTTGATGCAAGGTGTTTCAAAGTTGTTTGATATTCTACAATATCAGGTTGTGCCTTATTTGGCCACAAGAAGTATGCAGTTCAAAGTCCAAATGAATAGCCCATATAATCATATTGGCCTGTAGGGTGCTTCATGAATGTGTACACATCAAGTAAACCAACAAATCCAAATTGATGGAAATGCAAAGATTCAGTATGTTTCCTAAAATAGTATTCTTTGCTTATCATGAATTGGCACATGATTATTTTATAGATCAGATTTCTACTTCATAAAATTCCAAGACTTTAAATATGCCAAAGTCTTTTCTCCACCCACTCTGATAAGTTGACACATTCCTTTGGGTGATAATTCAGCTGTTATTATCCAACAGTATTTAACAAACACATTCATATGCGCAGCATAACAACTCCTCCTGTTAGTCACAGAGCAAGATGTTGATGCAGCACTGTTCCTTTATTACACTTTTCCTATACTCTTGTTGTTGTTGTTGTTGTGAAGTGCCATCGAGTCGGCTCCAACCTATAGCAACCCTGTGTAGGGTTTCCGAGAAGCAGCTGGTGAGCTTGAACCACCGACCTTGCAGTTCAAATGGCTTTGCAGTCTGGCGCATTAACCCACAGCGCCACCCCTCTACTCTTAGGTAGATTTAAAACTCAAGAGTTCCAGGCCCAGCATCCCCTTACCATTTCCATGTGTATCAAGGTCACAGAATCAACTTTGTCTATTCAAACTTGCATTTGAATTCGTACTCACATGCATCATTTTTTGAAAGTTAATTTTGTAATAAACAGTCCCTCTGTGTCTCCAAAAATAAAAGCTAATGTTTTTCCAGGATAATTTTTATTAGTGAGAAATCTTTTGCTGAGATAAAAAGAAAAGTTTTCTTATTTATATGTCATTTTCCATTTAAATTTTTTTTTCTTTTCAAAGATTAAAACCCCCAAAGTTATCTAATAGGAACGTAATTCATTCACCGTAAGGCTCCCATCCTCTTCCAAACACAAATCGATTCATCATGTCAAAAGATCTCAGAGGCTGGTCATAGGGCAAAATATGTCCTCCCCCTCGAACAATCACCTTCAAAAAGAAAAAAATAAATTAAATTTAGATAAATGGATATTCTAAATATGTGGACATTTTTAATCCAGATCACAATATACTTAAAGCTTATACAAAATATAGAACATGTTTTACTAACCCGTGCTTTTGGATTGTCTTGCTTTTGAAAGCTTTAATAATACAAACCGGGAGCAGGGTGGCTCCACAGGTGTCTGGGAACTACAAGCACTGAACTGGGAACCACAAGGTTGGAGACTCAAGCCCCCCGGCTGCTCCACGGGAGAAAGATGAGGCTTTCTGTTCCCTCAAAGATTTTAAAAAGCTTCAGAGACTCTATACAGAATGGCTATGAGTCAGACCTACTCGAAGGTACTTAACAACAACAACAACACAAACCAAGCCCATTGTCATTGACTTAAATTCTGACCCATTGCAACTCTAGAGGATAGAGTAGAATTGCTCCAAAGGGCTTCCAAGGTGGTTGGTGGATTTGAACTGCCAACCTTTTGGTTAGCAGTACTTAACCACTGTACCACCACGGTTCATCAGCTTTAATAATAGGTACCTTAAAGTAGGGAGTCCTGGTGTGGTGTTGTAGGATAAGCACTGGATTGCAAGTCAGTTTGAACCTCACTCCTCGGAAACCCTATACAGGGTAGCTATGAGTCAGAACTGATTCGACAGCACTTCACAAAAGTAGGAAAGTTTAAAAATTTTGTAAGTATTTAACTTTTTGCAAAGTTGCATTCGTCCTTTGTGTGAAATTGTTGTTGATGTTAAGTGCCTAGGGTTTCTAAGGAGCAGCTGGTGAGTTTGATCTGCCGATTTTGTAGTTCAAACCAACCTTGCGGTCTAGTGCTTTATCCTACAGTGCCACACCAGGACTCCTGTGAGTAAAAAGATGAGTAATTTTTAAGTCTTATTACACGCAATAAGACTTGGACATTACTCCTTGTCTTTTTCCTCTCTGGAGTGAGCTACCGTCTTCTTCTGTACAAACCTGTAAGTCTTTCCTGCTTAGGCCCCTGAGGTCGGTAACTGTGAGAACTGACCTGAACCCTGGTTTCTCTTTCCCTTTTCCCCACCTTTTTTTTTTTTTTTTTTTACTGTGGTGAAAATAAATACAATTTAACCATTTCTATATGTATAATCCAGTGACTGTAGCTTTATGTTCTATAACCATTCTTTCTATCCTTTTCCATGTACCACATGGGTCATCAGCTTTAGAAACTTAAAGTAGGAAAGTTAAAAAAAATGAAAGTATTTATCCCACATCTATCCTACATCATCTCTTTATTTCATCATATATATCTTTGTTTCATCATATATACATCATCATAAATATTTTTCTATATATTTGCTTATTTCAAAAGTCCATGGTATATTTAATATTCATCATCAACAATGACATTGGATCTTCATCAGTCTTCTTTATTATCCAGCTTTTGCATGCAAACAAGGTGATTGAAAATATCATGTCTTGGATTAGATGCACCTTAGTCCTCAAAGGGACACCTTGGCTATTTAAGACTTGAAAGGGGTCTTTTGCAGCAGAATTTGCCCAGTGCAATATACTGCTTGATTTCTTGACTGCTGTTTCCGTGGGTGTGGAACCAAGTGAAATGAAATCCTTGACAATGTCAGTCTTTGGTTATCATGATGTTGCTTATTGGTCCAGTTGTGAGGAGTTTTATTTGCTTGAAGTTGAGGAGTAATCCCTAGTGATCCTCATCACCAAGTGCTCTAAGTCTTCATCACTTTCAACTAGCAAAGTTGTACCATCTGCATATTGCCTACTGTTAATGGGTCTTCCTCCATTCCTGATGCCATGTTCTTTTCCCTATAATTCTGCTGCTCGAATTATTTGGTCAGCATATAGACTGAATAAGTATGGTGAAAGATTACAACCAGTTTTCACACTTTTCTTAAGTTTCACGACACATTTCCCTTGTTCTTTTCAATGGCATGGGCCAAGAGGGTGCCGCCCCTAGAATTTCCACATTTGAAGGTCTGGTGTCCCTCAGTGGTACAAATGGGTAGTTGCACAACTGCTAACCGAAAGGTTGGCAATTCAAGTCTACCTCGAGGTGCTTCAAGCCAGAAACCTAAGGTCTTCTTCCAAAAACCCGTCCATTGAAATTCCTATGAAGCACAGTTCTACACAGATACACACATGGGGTCACCATGAGTCAGAACCAACTCCACTCCTACTAGTTACTGGTCTAGGGTGGGACCCGAGAATTTGCATCCCTAACAGTATCAAGGTGATGCTGGTATGGCCCATCTTAATGACTACTCTGAGAACTACTGCTTAGAAGCTCTTTTTTCTACTCTGTAGCTAGTGAATTCGCTATTTCCATTGAGAGAAACTACAAGTAGAAATTTATTTAGCGTATACTCACCGTAGCTTATTTCTCCATAGTCGCCCACCCTCCTACTATTTACACACACCAATCACGCATGCCCTCCATGTCCCTGATCATCAGATGGTGAGGAAGAGCTGAGGGGTGTTGGGCATTCATATTCCCAGTGGGTCCATCTGATGGCAGTTCAGATTTTGAAGTGGCTGCCCTAAGTAAGACGAACTAAATGACATAGCATAGGGTGTGTGTGGGGTTAGAAATAAAGCTAGCTTAGGAACAAAGAAAGATTGCTTCACAGGAAACTACGATCCTAAATGAAGTACATTCTCAAGCACAGTCACACAGAACATTTTACTGATGATAACCTCAGAAGTAAATTTATTAGTCCTGAAAAGATAAACCACTCTGTTTTTATCTACAAGCCAATCAACACTTGCAAATCAATGACACAAACTACTCCGTGGTGTTTAGAGGTGTGTAATAAAATGTGACAGGGCCTTGATTACATATTTAAATGGACATAATGAATCTCAAAGCTTCCTGGATAAAAATGGCCTCACCACCAGAAACTATATTTTCAGTGCTTCCTCGCTAGAGCTGAAACCTCTAAACTCATGGATTCCAGATGTTCCTGGAGGGACACAAATGTGCCATGAATTTTAAAAGGGTTACACAAACACTTTAAAGCTTCATTCCATTTTATTTGCTAGAAAACAATACAACTCTCCCTGGAACTAGAAACACTGACATGTAGTGAAAGCTGCCCCGTTGTTACCTTTCTAGAAGACAGAACATCTAGGGGAATTCACTCTGTGCTTGCTGACGTGCATGTATCAGGAGAGGCTTCCCAGAGGTGACGTCCTCTGAGCCAGGTCCTGAAGGAGGAGACCACTGGGCAGACAAGAGTAGGAGGGACGGTGGAATTCATTCCAGACAGTGGAAACGGTGCGTGCAAAGTCAGCAGGCACGATCCAAGTGGCATTTGCAGTAATTGCCAAGTTGTTGTATTTATGATGGATCAGAGGAGACAACAGGAGGAAAAGCTGGACTAGTAAGTAGTAAGGAGAACATGTGAAGTCTTATATGACCCTGGGATGAGTGGACCTTATTCTATAGGATTGTTTTTGTTTTTTAATTGGGGTAAAATACAGTAGAAGCAACCAACCCTGGAGGTCCAGTGGTTAGGACTTAGCTGCTAACTGAAAGGTTGAAACCCACCTAGCTGTATTCCCCAGGAGAAAGACTTGGAAATCTACCATATTCTTAGAAAATAACACACACATTATACATTTTTTGCAAACCATGCAACCCGCTTGCACTTTCCGTTGCTGTGCAGGCGGCTGCGCATTATATGTGTGCATCTGTAATTTCCAAAAATACAGTATTCCCATAAAGAACAGAAAACCCTAAGGGGCAGTGGAGCTCTGTCACATGGAGTCGAAGTCGACTAGATGGCACCCAACAACAACACAATGCACACACAATAAAACGTACCATTCTGACGATTTCAAAATGTACAACTTACTAGCATTTAGCACATACACAATGTTCTGTATCTAGTTGGAGAACCTTTTCATCACCCCAATTGGGAACTCCATACCCTGGTGTGGAGCTGTGGGATAAAGCACTGGACTACAAGGTTGATTTGAACCACAAGGTCGGCAGTTCAAACACACCAGCCGCTCCTTGGAAACCCTATACAGGGTCACTATGAGTCAGAACCGACTCAATGGCACTTAACAACAACAACAACAACAACCCATGAGCTCCTGGCAACCACTAACCTGCTTTCTGTCTCTATAGATTTGCCTTTCTGGTTGTAACGTCTAGGGTTTTAAGTAGAACAGTGACATGCTCAGATGTACATTACAGAAGATGGCTTTATATGTAAAAATGGGTCTGGTTTGGTAAAGAATGATATTGGGTCAAGAAGGCAAATTAACAGACTGACTACTGGTTCAAGTGAGAGATGATGTGGGCTCTTGGGAGAGATGTCCAGAAGGGGCTGTATGGTGGAAGCAGTATAATTAGCGAGCCCTGCTGTGGCACTCTAGAATAAGCACTAGACTGCTAACCGCAAGGTTGGCAGTTCAAACCCACCAGTCACCCCATGGAAACCCTGCACAGGGTTGATGTATGTCAGAACCAACTCAATGATACTTAAGGACAACTTAATAACAATGATCAGAAGTCAGGGTTAAATTGATGTATTGTACTGGGCAAATCTGCTGCAAAACACCTCTTGAAAGTGTTCAAAAGCAAAGATGCCATTTTGAGGACTAAGGTGCACCAGACCCAAACCATTGTATTTTCAATAGCTTCATATACATGTAAAAGCTGAACAATGAATAAGGAAGACCAAAGAAAAACTGGTGCCTTTGAACTATGGTGTTGGTGAAGAATATTAAATGTAAGAAGGCTTCAAAAATTTGTAGAAAACTTCCGTTGTTTTTAGTTCAAGGAGTTTTTCCACTACTTCTTGAAACCTTCTCATATACCACAGACTGTGAGAAAAATGAACAAATCTGACAGGAAGAAGGACAAACCAGAATGCTCTTTAGAAGCTGGGATGGTGAGACTTCACCTCACCTGCTATGTACATGTGATCAGGAGGTACTAGTTTCCGGAGAAGAGTATCATGTTTGGTAAAGTAGT